CCATCCATTCCTTCCCCATCCATTCCTTCCCCATCCATTCCTTCCCCGTCCATCCCATCCATTCCTTCCCCATCCATTCCTTCCCCATCCATTCCTTCCCCATCCATTCCTTCCCCATCCATTCCTTCCCCATCCATTCCTTCCCCATCCATCCCATCCATTCCTTCCCCATCCATTCCTTCCCCGTCCATCCCATCCATTCCTTCCCCATCCATTCCTTCCCTCTCCATCCCATCCATTCCTTCCCCATCCATTCCTTCCCCGTCCATTCCATCCATCCAAAGCTCAACGTCAGGAAGCACGGAGGGGGTTTTCCCTACCTGATTCTTTTGGGGCCGATCTGGGCCACGTCCTCATCGCACGGCCGCGTCGGCTGCTTGCAGCTGCAATAGGAAAGAAGGGTTCTGTGCTGGGTTCTTGCCTCGAGCACAGAGCCTGGATGCGTTGCAGGCCGTTCATCTTTGGCTCTGGGATGTGCTGTAGGGTCCAGGATGTTGGACGGCAGCCACAGGCGGTGGCTCCCAACGAGAGCGACGCAACCCAACGGTCCTTCAACCGTTCCCTTCCCAATTGTGCTGGATTTTCCTCTCCCTCCTCGCGCTGGGACGCAGCGCTGTGAACAAACGCCCCTTTCAGACAACTTGGAGCAGAAACAGATCCTTTATTTCTCATTACAAAGCCTTGAACGCGGTTCTGCAGCAGCTTCGGGTTCCAGTCGCCGTCCCTGGGTTTTTGTTCCCATCTGCATCGTTCTGCCCTGCGGCTTTTCTCATCTCTGTGGGAATTTCTGCCCTGCAACCAGAGATGGAGACGTGAAATCACAGCTGTGGTGTGCAGCTATGGAGCAAGCGATGGAGGTTGCAGATCTGCACTGTGATGTCTGCAATCAAACCCATCCTTGCGGCCTGAGGTTCGCTTCTGCTCACCCAAAAGGCAGCGTCTGCTTTATGGCCACATCTGAGGCCCAAAGGTACGAAAATCACCCCATTTTTACTTCTGCTGTCAGCAGAGGCCACCCGGACCTGCAGCGAACCTTTCTACCCCCAAACTGAATTCTGGTGCTGCGTGACCCCCGAGGACGGGCAGGGAGGGGAAGAAAGCGATAAGGGATTTACCATCGGCTTCCACTGGGAGAGACTTCGTGGGAAGGCGGCATCTTGGCCATTTTGGGGCACCTGCAAGAGATGGGAAGGGCTGAGAGCCACAGCAAAGCGGGGAACGGCCGAGGGGAGCCGAGGAGGAGGAGGAGGAGGGCGGCGCTCACCTGTCTGTCAGTGGCAAACAAAGGTGAAATCCGAGGGCGGCCAACTCCAAGCACAAATCAGTTCTGCTTTTTGCTGTTTGTTTTTAATGCCTTTCGTATGGAAACCCAGAACAGCGCTGGCTCCAGAAGCCCAAGCAGTGAAGTGTGGGGCCGTCGGCGCGGCACCGAGAGCAGCTGCGTGCATTTTGTGCTCTTGACCCCTTGAGTTCCCCCATCTCCTCTACAGCACAAGAGCCAACTTGGAGCCCGCGCGGTTTGGCAAGGAGGGGTGGAAAAAAACTCAGCCCCAAACAGCGGTGAAGAGCAGAGCGCTTGTGTTCCACGTTGCCCTGCGCTTGGCTCTGCTGGGCTCACCATTGCACCCTGTGCACAGCAGGGACAGAACACGGAATGCAGGGCTGCGCGCGGCCGTGATCCCCGTGCATGGCAAGGGGATTTGCGTGTGGATTCCTGTTGCTGCTCGCAGGTGGAACAAAAGTCCTTGGCCGCCTGCCTGACCGACAGCAGAGGCGGTTCTGGGGGTCCAGCTCCCTCTTTGGACTCGGTGCTTCCCCCCCCCTTGGTTGGCAGCAGCTCGGTGCCGTGGGCTGAAGCACCCAAAGCAGCAGCAGCAGCACATGCACAGTGCTGGGGGATGCTGAGGATGGCTGCCCCCAGGATGGGGACCAACCCCTCTCAAGCTCCAGCACAGTGATGGAGGAGCATTAAACCCCGGTGCCGTCTCCCCACCATGCATTTTGTCGCCTCCGTTTGCAAACACGCGGCTCTCTCACCCTGCCAGAGCTCAGGCTTGAACCTCGTACAGCTTTTGGGACGGTTTCCTCGTGCCCACAAAGCAGCAGCATGTCCAGGCTGTCCCAAATGCCCCTTCCCCTGCCTCTCCTCACCACCCTGGCCTTCGCCGCTCACCTGATTTGCCCACCCTTGTCTTCTGCTGAGCTGGAGTCCATCGGGTTCTGCTCATCCTGCTCCTCCTTCACGGCTTTCTTACGGGCCTGGGGCTGGCTTTGGCGTCGCTGCGGCTCGGAGTCGCTGGGGGCAGAAGATGAAGATATGGGGCAGATTGAATGGGTTGAGCACAGCTGGGAGTCAGAGGACGCGGTCGTCTCTGTTGGGATGGGGTTGACCCCCTTTGGACGTGGTTTGGATCTGGTTGGGCATTGGTGGAGCCCACTGGATGAGGGTTGTGGATGTGGTTGACGCCGTTGGGCATCGCTGAGCCTGTTGGGTGTGGTTGGATGCCGTGGGATCTGGTTGACCCTATTGGCTGTGGTTGGATGCTGTAGGATAGGATTGACCCCATAGGACATGGCTGAACCCCATAGGACATGGTTGACCCCATTGGGCATCACTGATCCTGCTGGATGTGGTTGAACCCTATGGGATGAGGTTGACCCCATTGGGCATCTCTCACCCTTTTGGATGTGGTTGAACCCCATGGGACGTGGCTGGGTGCTGCTGGAGCCCCTCTCACCTGTCCTGGGGCGGCTGGTAATTCTCATCACGCCAATCATCGTTGTAGGCAAGGTCGTCTTCCTCGGCCTGGTCCTCATCTTCCTCCTCCTCTTGGGGCACGGCGTGTTGCTCTGCTTTCTCCTCCAACCCAGGCGTGCTGCTGGAACACAACGCTCAGAATCAGCTCTGCCCCAACCACCCAGAGGGGATTTTATTGGGGGAAGCTTCCTTCAGTTCAACAGCAGCGCGGGGACGAAGCCCTCATGGATCCCAATGGGTCCGGGTGCAACTTGGAGCTCAGCAGATCCCACTGTGGGGCCATGGCTCACCTCTGGCGATCCGCTGCCGGCACTTCTGCCTCTGTCTGCCCCTGGGGAGCTGCAGGGAGGGCGGTGGTGAGTTGAGGCCGAGGTGCTGGAGGGGTAAAGGAAGAGGAGGATGGGATGCGGCACCCACTGGGATGGAGCTGCGTTGGCTGGGGGATTTGTTTTGGTGTCTGTGGGGATGGAGTTGGACAGAAAAACCCTTACAGGACCTGGGATGTTGTGCGACAAGGAGGGGCGCCAGCTCACCTCCATGGGGTGATGCTGGGACAGAACCGGACCCCATGGCCCCTATGGGATCTGTGGGATGGAGCTGGTGATGCTGG